TTTAGACTTGTTGTATAACAAATAAAAGTTTTTTTTTTGCCTACTCTAAATAGTTGTTTCAGAGTGTTTTGAGCTTTGAGGTTGTTTGACTCCTCTTAAGCCTTGTTAGGCTCCATTTTTGTGCATTTTTGGTGAGCTCCGGGACCATTGTGTTTGGGCCTCCTCACCACTGAAATCTTGAGGCATTTTAGTGGTGATGATGGTGCCTTGAGGTCCCAAGAAGGAGAGGGCCACCCCCTCTCCTTGTTGTCCATGAAAAGGGTCATTTTTGCCTCTTGAGGGAGCATCTAGTTTAGGTTCATGTTGATCATGCCTTAACTAATTTTTGTGCTTATATTGCCATGATATAGCATTGTGTTAAGTTGGTTTAGACACATCTTGCATGCTTTGGATACATGTCTTGTAATGCCTTGTTTTAGCCTTAATATGCTTTAGGCTTTTGACCCTTGTTCTAGCATGTTTTTGGCCAAGCTTTGTGAAGCTTTTGTGCTTGTTTTAGGATGCTAAAGTTCCGTTTTTGGTTGTTTTGGTCGACCATGACATGCATTGCATAGCCTCTTTGCATTCTTAGCTTGTGAGCCTTAAGTGCATGAACCATGAGCATGCATTACTTGCATTATTTCAGTGGTTTGGAACCACTTACCATGCCATTTCAGTCCACTTAGCATGCTTGTATGCTTGCATTTGATGCCCCTCTAATGTGTTAAAAGGTTGTTGTCTTACGCCCTTTGTTTAGGCCCTTGTGCATGCTTGCATGTTTAGGTCACTTTGATGCCATCTAGGTGTATCCTTAGCCTTGCTTAGGCCTGCCTTGGACCTGTTTAAGGTCCTCTTAGCCTTGTGAGGCTTGGTTGACTAAGCCATGGTTTAAGCCTCTTTGGGCTTGCCTTGAATCTTAGACCATTGTTGCATGTTTAGCTTGTCTTGTTTACTTGGTTTGGTACCTTTACAACATGATTTTCAAAGCTTTATATGCATGTCACCTGTCCATGTTTGCAGCCTCTTAAGTGTGCTTGAGAGTTGTCTCTATATGCCTAAGTGTTGGTCCTTGCGTGCATGCATGTTTGTATGTCATTTTGACTTCATTTTTGAGCATGTTGGCCACTGTTTTGGGCTTAGTATAGAGCTGCCTAACTAGTGTAAGTCCCTCCTTTGCATCGCCATTGCATGCTCACCTTGTATGTTGTTGCATATTTGTGTGTTGTTGCATGATTGAAGTTGCATGATTGATTGAAGCCACATGCTTGCTTGCATGCTTGAACACCCACATTGTATCTTGCATACTTGTTGGTTGCATTGCTTCATGCCTTGCATGATTGTTGTATGCCTTGTATGCTTCTTTGCATTTCCTTGATTGCATGCTAGCTCACATGCCTAGGTTGCATCACATTGGCACGCATGCTTAACCTCTTGACTTGATTGTGATGGAGGTTGAGCCCCATTGTTTGTTTATGTGCATTTCACTCCACATTGAAAATGCCCAACTTGGTTCCTTGGGCCATCACGCATTGAAATGCGCGATTGATGGTCCGAGAATCGAGAACCATGTCCCTATGAGTCATGAACACGATAAGGGATGTGGTGGTGCACACATTTCCTTGAAATGCATTGCCATGCCTTGTTTTGCCCTCTGCTGCTGTCAAAACAGGTTCTGCAGGAAGAATTGGCCGGTCGACTACATACAGTGCCGACGGACCATGTATTGCAGGCCGAGAGTCACCCCAGTGGCCGATGACCACATCCCCTTAGCCGGTGATCATTTACCTTGGCCGGTGGCACTCCACAGTGTGTGGAGAGCATACCTTGGGACTTGTGTATTCTTCAGAGGTGCCAAACAGTGAAAACAGAGGCAACATGTGTCATGGCAATGGATTTCCGAGCGAAGCCAATCCGAGCGTGCATTTATCCCTCTTCCCGAGGCTGTTTTACTACTTTAGTAGCTTAGTTAATTTGTTTAATTAATTAAGGGTCTGTAATAATTAACTAGCTAGGATAGTTGATTCGTTATTCGGACTGTATTATTCTTTTGGTCCCTCCGAGCGAGGGCAAATTTGTAATAAGTGTGGGTGTGTGTGTGCATGTCTTCCAACCCCCACTTCTTTATCCCTTTTACTTACCTACTTTTGATGGTTAGTATTAGGACATGTTTACTTTAGCATACCTTATGCTATGCATGCCTGCATCATTCATTAGTCTTGCATGCACCAGGCTCGGCGCATCATGCTAACTGCATAAAGTATTTCAAATCTAACTTGAATACATGCTATCTGTGCATTTTCACATGTCATCCATAGATTAGCCGAGCCTATTCTAGATTGCATTCTGTACGCGTTGCATTAGCCACTTAACATGGACTTGGATCATGCATTGATTGCTAACATGTTCTTGTCTTGGGTCGGAGTACATTGTAAGTATTTTTATGCTTTAGCATCTCGCATGAGTGTGAATGTCAACATGACAGCATGCTTACCATGTGGCTAGATGCTTATGTGATATAAACTGCTTGAATGCCTGTGGGTGAAGGTTGAATTGTTTGAGTTGGAACAACTCGTTGAAATCCGTGCTTTAGCCTACTTGCGGGTAGCAAATTTCAAATTGTTTTTTAAACAAACGAATATGCAATGTTTTGTTCCAATTTAGGCGATTTGGTCTATACTTGTTTGCTGTGTGCATAACATAGTAATTCTAGGCTAATCACCGAAATAAGAGCACATAATGCTTTCAAAACAAGATATCACGGTTAGTAGAGGCCGATCTTTGATCGGGCGAGAGGGGGTGCTCATAGCTGACCTTCCCCAATCGTACCCAAGTTCCCGAGCCGAGGCAACTTTGGTGACGACGGACACGTGGCCTTTGGCAACGAGTCAGGGTTTCCTAAATTTCCCCCAAAATAAAAATATTTAGGTGGCGACTCTGTATCTGGCAAAGCAGTCCATGTTTGGCACTTCTTTACAAAAAAATCTGTTTTCCAAAAAATGATTTGCCGGATTTGGACTCTTTGGCTCAAGATTTAGAACCGTGACAATTTGAGTCCGAACTGTAGTGAGCCCCAAATGAACAGAAACGGGACTCATCCTCCCGGGGCGTTCGGGGACGTCTACACCAAGCCAGTGGTAATTTTTCCACTAATGCAGCGACTTGGAAAGACTCACTAAGAGGCATACCCTCAACATGAATATCATGCAAAATTAATTGAAAACTTTGAACTTGAGAATTACCATTGGGGAGTCTACCTTAACAAAATCCAGAAATTTACCATCAACAAATTTCTTTGTGTTGGCATCCTCTGTTTTGTATTTTTTTCTCCAAAGAATCCCAATATTCTTTTGTTGTTTTCAGAGAACTGTAAACATTATACAGCATGTTGTCTAGGCCATTGAGGATGTAATTTCTGTAAAGAAAATCAAAATGTGTCTAGGTGTCTACTGCGGTAATAACTTGCCGATCACTTTCACCTTCTTTCAACACAAGAGACTCTTAATGGAGAAATCGGATAAGATTAAGAGTTGTAAGATAGAACATCATTTTATGTTGCCATCTCTTAAACTCTGTACCATTAAATTTTTCTAATTTTTCTCCTTGACTCATTGGAAGTTACACCTGATTTTGGGTAAGGATCGGAGTCGTTGTAACAATTGGATTCGAAGTACTACTTTCAGAAGCCATAATATTTGATTAAAAATAAAAATAAAAAACCCAAACCAAAACACAAATTAATTTTCTACCTACTAAAACCAGAAAATAAGTTATAACACGAAATAATTTTACTTTTCTAGTTACTAAAACCAGAAAAATAAAACACAACTATAATTTTCTTGTTACAAAAACCAAAAAATTATTTTCTTGGATGAAATAACGAAATTATTAATACAATGAAGACTTAATAAAGGAAAAAAAAATGTCTTATGATTGTTAGGAAATATTCACTGTAGTCAAAGAAAAGGATTAAAGAAAGGAGAGTGTCTGTTTGATTACAAAAATCAAAATAGTATATATATAAAAAAAAGAGAATTAAAAGAAAAATAGATTCTTATTTTGTCACAAAAACAAAACCAGAATCTGGAAAAGAAAATTAATAAAATAGGAAAGTAAACTAATCACTTACCTTATTATTTTCTCGAACAAAATTTGATCAAGTCCAGTGTTTTACATTGTCTCCTTAAGACAGATTCGTCCTCTCTCGCGTGCTAATAGATTATGGACGTCTACACTACAATGAAACTGACTTTTGACATTTTACGGCACCACATCAACGACATACAATAAATGCACGCCATAGTTTCTCACTTTTACGACTTGCTTTTTTTGCACGTCACAAATACTTTTCCAACCACGGCGTGTCTATTGTGTAGGCCGTGAATGGTAATCACGATGATTTTTTTACAACTTACAATGCATGCCGTAAATATTAAAAGTTTTCACGACGTGCATATGGCGTGCCGTTATTACATCAATTACACACGACGCACATGCGCCCGCCGTGAAAAGTGAATACTTTTCACGATGTACACAACGCCCGCAGTTAAAAGTATTGCACTTTTTACGACGCACACATCACTTGCTGTTAAAAGTATTACTTTTTTACAACGCACAATGCATGTTGTGAATTGTATGATAAAAAAAAAAAAGCGCCAAAATGAAATTTGGGGCTCCAATCACCAAAATATATATATATATATATTAGAAAAAAATTTTCCCCAAAATAACTATTTTGCCTTCCTCTAATCAGAATAGAATATCACAAGGGTTTCAATCTCTCTCTCTCTCTAATGATGATGAAGGCCGAATCAATTGCTAGGGTTACCAGGATCATCTCATCTCTTCTCTTCGGTTGTATATCTAAAATCAAAGGTATCCATCGTCGTCTCATGCTTCTATTCTCTTCTTGGTTGTGTATTTGAAATCCCTAATTCATTCTCACTCCTAGCCCAGTCCTGCCCTAGTCTATTTCGCGTCTCTCTCGTTTACAATGGCTGCAACACCGTGTGCAGTACCCCATATTTGATGTACAAAAAAAAAATAAAAATGCACAACTGTTTAGGTTCTAATGACTTCTAATCATAGAGGAACATAGAAATGGTGAAGGGAGACGGTTCGAAAAGAGACGATTCGAAGTCAACAAGAGAGGGAGAAGGGAGAGGGTTCGAAGACGGATTTTGGGCATTTTGATCTAGAAGGGTTTCAATCTCTCTTTGGAGACTTCAACCTAGTTCGACGGCGACAACAATCGGTACAATCTCTTCTTTTCTCTTCTCTTCTCTTCTCTTTGCGTTTCATTGCTTTTGGTTCAGTTTTGGTTGGTTGTCTTCGACCTGATTCTGCAGCCCTCCAGTCTTCAACCCCTTTCCCATCACCAAAAAACAAAAACCCACTTCATCTCCATCGATTTCAAGCACACCCATTTCAAAAAAATGTTTTCAAAATCATCAAATCAGATATCCATCTCTTATCCTCCTTTGTTTTGCTTCTGGGAATTGAAAAGATCAATCTTTCTTCATTTTGTTTTCAAAATTATTGAATCAGCTATGAATCTCTGGTTATGGGCATTAAAAAGATCAATGTTTTGATTTTGTTTTGCGCGATTTTGAACTCAGATTTGTGTAAATTGAGTTATTTTTTTGTTGATTGAACACAATACAACTTGTTCTCTGGAGTTTCGAGAAGTTTATCTCATTACCTGGAGATAGATTCTTATCTAGACTGATTCATGTTTATAGAAAGATTCTGAAATTTGATTTCTGTAGCCATGATTATACATAACCAATTTAATCATAGTAAGGAAAATCATCTACAAACAGAGAGTTTTTATACGAAAATCTTGTTCAGAATGATGCGAGATTGACATTTAAAAAAATAAAATAAAATTATAAACCACAATAATGGGCATTTTAGCTTGAAGTGAAAGGAAAACAAAACGCATCATTCTTTACCCTTAGAGACAGTGTTTGGTTCACTTGAATGCAAATGGAATGAAACCATTGCATATTTGATCCCTTAATTTGTCACTGGCATCAGAGGCTTTCAAGATATCTAAAAGATTTTTTTTTTTTTTTTTTGGTAAACGAATCAAACCATTGCATATTTGATCCCTTGGCTTGTCACTGGCATTAGAACCCAACATCTTCTATGCTTCATGTTCCAGTTTTAATATGACAGATTATTTTACTCATTAATGCTTCTCTTAAAAAAATAAATTGAATAACAGTTTATTGCTTTGTATAGTGATTAACAGTTTAACAGTTTGACAATTTTAATTGTGAACCTCAATTCAAAACTTCCCCCAAATGGGTTTATTGGGGTTCTCTCTCTCACGGGTCATTTGTTTATTAAACCCTATTAATTTTTGATCTGCTTTCTCTGTACTTCCGAAGGTCTATTACTTCCCTGTGTGCTTCAGTTTACGATTTCTAAAGCCTACCTATGTGTTCCAGCCACAACCACATCATCGCTGTACTTGCCTACCACCGTTCAATCAACACGACCACCAAGTAATTTGATTTCTCCCTTTCACTATTTGTTTTTGTCTCTCCTTTGTGGAATAGCTCTGTTTCTATAAACAACTTTTCCTATCGGTTAATAGATTTTCATGTGTTCATTTAAGAATTTTTTTCCTTCCTGTGACTTCACTCCCTACTCTTTTTTACAGGTATGGAGGTCATATTTTGAACCACAAAACTCCATTTCTTATGGAGTCAATTCTTATAATAAGGAGAACATCAGGGAGGTACAACTCTTTCACAATGCATTTAACAACATGGCATTAGACCACCCATTGAAATGAAATTATTTCATTGTGTTATAGAATATGTCATTTGAATATAGTTCATTAAAGATGGAATTTGCAATGAGCCCGTTTTGTTCTTACTTAGTAGTAAGTCACTGTGCAGTCACATACATTGGTGCACTGAAAAATGCAATTACTTGTTGAACAATTCTAAACAAGGATTGCAGAAACTTATTTAAGATTTGTTTCTCTCTTCTTTTGTTTGAACTTGGGGTTTTGTCACGCCCCAAACTTGCTCCTAAAAGTTCGGGCATGACCCATATAGAAATGGACACTTAACCTAATATACATATCATATGGGGTCTGGACGGAAGCATTTAATATAATAAAATAACACTGAAAAGCATCCATTGAGCTAAACCTAACATGCTAGGATCATGTTCGTGAGAGCCATTTATTTTTATACATACCCATACACATACATGACCATATAATCGAACATTGGTATAGGAAGGGGTCATATACATACATTTTAACCTTAGGTAAATAATTAAAGTACAAGCAAAAATCTTAACAAAACTTAACATAAATGCACAGACTTGGTCTGCAGCCTGGGCGTACTGAGGTTGGCAATTGAAGGGTGAGCATCAAGGGTTGAAAAGGATTCCCAAAGTGATTACCTACAGAACAGACATAACACAAAGTGAGCAAAGCTCGGTGAATAATAGTACATAAACGATTCAATGCTCAACTTGAATTATAATACATATCAATGCATACATAAATAATGAGGCATAAGGTTAATTGATTCTGTATTAATTCTTGAATGGCCTGAGGCCCAGTCTTTAAACATAATGACTTGAAACATCATATCTTGAAATATAATGGCTTTACGCCCTTGAACATAGTGGCGATAGCTCTTGAACATATTAGTATTAAACTTTTAAACATGTTGGCATATAGCCCTTGAACATATGGTATGAAGCCCTTGAACATGTTGGCATATAGCCCTTGTACATATGGCATGAAGCCCTTATCAGAATGGCATATAGCCCTTATCAGAATGGCATTAAGCCCTTTTACGTATGTATGAACTCAAAAGGTGGCTCGCACGGATTCTAGAGGTGACTCGCATGGCAGCACTTAGTTCCATGCAGCACTTTGTTTCATACTAACAAATCATACAGAATGGCCATAGGCCCAGATGTCACAAATTGGCCATAGGCCTCACAGATGTTACAGAACGGCTATTAGCCTCATAACTTTTACAGAACGGCCATAGGCCTCATAACTTTCACAGAACGACCATAGGCCTCATAACTTTCACATCGGCTTTAAGCCTGGTTCACATATGTATGGACTCAAGAGGTGGCTCGTACGGATTCTAGAGGTGACTCGCATTGCAGCACTTAGTTCTGTACAGCACTTTGTTCCATACCAGGAAACAATTATATCATGTCATACCATAAACGGAAACAATTTCATACATATGCATTATGCTTGAATCATAAGCAGAAATCAGAATTCATATTTGATTATACCTGGCACTTCAATAGCGCTAACAAATCGATATAAGGCATTCTTCTTAGTTCCATACAGGAATCCCTCGGTACTAAGAACTTGCAACATCCTTGAACGTGTAACATACGTGAATTTATAACAGACTTAAACTTGTAACATACATAGAGTTGTAACATACGTAAACTTGGAACATACGTAAACTTATAACATACGCAAACTTGTAACATACTTGAACCACAGTATTATTACCCCCGGGTAAGGACCGTGTGCTTCGGTTGTCATGAATACTTTACATATATGGACAACTGTTCATTAATTCAAAACATAACATCTCATTGCAGTACACTTAACAAAGACAGAACAATTACATCATAATGTAGTTACGTGACAATGTCATTGATATTTAATTCTGTTTTCAGGTTGAGTCATTCGTTGTTTATCATAACGCTTAGTAGGTAATAACGTATAAACAATCCGTGGTCTTAACCAGTGATTCATTCTGGGTAAATATCCATGTCATAAAATTCGTGTTGAATTAAATAAAACTGTATCAGTTCATGATAGGTCATTCAGAACATCATGTTCCCGTCAACTTGTTGCATAACATCGATGGTCGTATGTAATTCTTGTACAGTGTTTATAGACAATTTACAGGCTATAGCACATTAATAATATTCATTAACCGTAATTGGAATACCGAGTAGGTTTAGAGTCATACCGATGTACGCCAACATCTTTTAACGTTCACACAACCTTCCAATCAACATAATGATAACATAACGTAACTATTTGTGAAGAGCAGAGCGTTAATAATAAAAACTATTAACTGTAAAGAAATGGCGATGCCAGTACTACTACTCACAGTGCTATATTGGAGCATTTGACCCTCCCGAGGCATGACCTACACATGTGCATAACTTATACATTAGTTCTTGTTCTTTCTTTTGTTATTTTATGCATCATTTCACCTCGAATGAATTTACAACCATCTTATGATTATCAAAAAAATATTCTAAAAATACCAGAGGGTCGAGCACACAAAACAGAACAGATAAGTTTTTCGGACCTGGGACGCACATGCGGCCGAACCCTCCGCTTGAGCGGCCATGCACCGCACGTGCGGTCCTTCCCCTCTGCTCGAGCGGCCGAAAGCAGTACCCATTTCCCATTTTTCCTCCTTCTCTGCTCGAGCGCCCGTGGCCTTCGCTCGAGTGGCCGCGTCCCTGTTTTGGGACAGCTCGATTTCAACCCAAAATTTAGCAACACCACTTCATTTTCCATGCAAACCAAGATGAAATTAATGCAATATATTGTCCCAACTTCACTCTAACATGAATTATCATTTGAACACCACAAAATAAACACAATTAGAAGCTTAAACAAGTCACCATTCTTTCAAATTCATTCTTTAATTCAAGTTTTCTTATGTTCCTAAAACATCACACATTGCATATACCTAATTTCATGGGGTTGGCATAAAACCAAAGATTGAAGTGTAAAATTCATACAACGCCTAAATTAGGTTTCAAAGCAACCAATTGATGAGAATACCCTCTTTAATCAAACATGAATCATACAAAATCCACAACTACAAACCCTAAGTTGTCAAAACAAGAAATAAACTCTTCCTTAGGTCCAAGTGATGGTTGAATAGGTTGGATTGAGCTTACCTTGAATTAAATCTTACAACTTTCCTCAATTTGACAATCTTCTTTGTTGAATTTCTTCTCCCCCAATTCTTCTTCTCCACACTCTCTCTTTTCTCTCCCAAGAGATTTTTGGATGGAAAAGTGCCTAAGTCTTATTCTTATAAATACATATGCATATATAAGGTTGAATAGAGACAAAATTCAATCGTTTAAGCATCCCAAATTGAAATTTCGTAAACATGATTAATATTACTTAAAAATTATGCTGATCACATATATAAAATCAATTTCAGATAATTAAGCTCCTAAGGTGTCCAATTTCTGACTCAAATATTCTAAGTGTAACAGATACTTTTCTTGTTCAACAGATAGACATCCTTAAACATAGGATTCACTTACTTAATCGTAATTCCACATGGAATTTCACAATAAACATATAAATATACAGAATAAGGGAACTGAAAGTATACCAGAATCATAGACGAGGGTTGGGTTATTATAGGTTTACTTGGTAAAGATTACTTTTGGTCATTATTTATAGGTAATTCTAGTTTGAACTTCATGTCCATAATGAAGTCCCATAATAGCTTCATCTATGAGAAGGCAATAAAGCTCACTGTTCTGTAGTTGATTCTCTCAATTCAACCAAGGTTTATCAAATTTAGTAGCATTTGATTGGAGTTCACATTCAACTATTCTGCAATTACCTCTTGAACAGTTCTAAACAAGGATTGTAGAAACTTATTTAAGATTTGTTTCTCTCTTCTTTTGGTTGAACTTTTGGTATACTTGGTAAGGATTACTTTTGGTCATTATTTATAGGTGACTCTAGTCTGAACTTCATGTCCAGAACGAAGTCCCATAATAGCTTCATCTATGAGAAGGCAATAAAGCTCATTGTTCTGTAGTTGATTCTCTCAATTCAGTTGTGGTTTATCAAATTTAGTAGCATTTGATTGGAGTTCACATTTTACAGTTCCTAAACTTTTTACAAGCTTGAGTCAGAGAATTTAAGAAGACTGATCATGCTAATCATACCATAACAGTCCTGCTAGTTGGGATTCCCAATGTTGGCAAGTCAGCCCTGGCCAACTCCTTGCATCATATTGGCCGGATTAGTGTTGCGGGTCCTTCACCCTTATTAAATCCTATTATCCATTATTAATTTTCTAATTAAAAAGTTTGATTTAGAAGAACTAATTTTCAAGATTCTTTTTTTCGTAAAAAAAAAAATGTATTTATGGTCATTAATTTGGTGGCATATTTTTATTTTTAAGAGAAAGGAAAGTTGAAACATGCAACAATGAGTCCGCTGCCAGGGGAGACAAAAGATATCAGCAGCTTGAAGGTGTGTAATCTTTTTTTCATCTATGCCTATATTGCTAGAATTGTTTGGGTTGGGAATTATAGCTAATGCATTCCAAATTCTCTTGTTATTTCATCTTCTCTAAAAAATGGTCATAAGAGAATACCTTTGTTATGCTGAGGTTTTTCAGCATGTCTCTTTTCTTTCAGCTTCCTTTATCTGTATGTGTTTATCATGTAACAGTTGAGGTGCGTTCGAAACTTGCTTTAACAGGTATGGTTAATAAAAAATTCTCTCTTTTATGATCTAACAGGGTGAAAAACAATGCACTAGAGTTACTCTCTTAAGCCACACAAAATTCTCTCCCATTTCAGATTGGTTAGATAATTGAGATATTTAGATTTTTCAGCAATTCTGCTCTGATACATGCTTTAAATTTGAAATGCTGGAGCTATTAATGATTGTTTAATTGGGGAACAGAACAAGCTTAATATTTTTTTGGCTATCCTCAACTTGAGTGATGAATATAAGCAATGGTCAAAATTGTCTCCCACTGCGAGTGAAAAATTATCAAAGACAAAGTCGAAACTTCAGTTGACTCCAAGTTGGACAAGAGACGGAAGTAGTATGCCACAGATCACACACAGGTACAACCATTTCAATGATCAACTTATCATGTAATTTTAACAATTTATATTACTGAATAGGGAAGATAAATAAATCTTTACACTGTTTCTTTTTTTCCCATGTAAATCATTTTCTGCAGGAAAATAGAAAAATAAAAGATTGTCTTCAAAAATCTAGAATTGGTAAATGAAGGATATGACTCTCTTTAGTAGAGAAATGTGGTAAAAAACTTCAACCTAATTCCTAATAAACAATAAACAGGAGATCAACTAATTTCTGAAAATCACCTATGATATTCCAGTTGTCATCACAAAAATATTTTTTGATTAGGTTAATGGGATAACCAAATGAAATGAATGCTCTCTTGGGAAAACAAAATGATCAATGGAAAGCCCCACTATCTTTTCAAATTGATCTGTTATTCCAAACAAAAGACTTCCAATTTTAAGTTTCATTAGCAGCACTTCATTTTACCTTTTGGAAAGAAGCAAAGAAAGTGCTAACGAACTTAAAGGCTTAAAATATTATTTCAGTTCTTGTGGTTAGGTGCTTTATTGTTGTTTCTTCTTACATTTTTGGCATTTTGAGTTTGGGGGGTGGGCATGGGAGATTGATAATATAATTTTTGGATGAGGTAGAGTGAAAACAAGTTGGATCAATTCTAATATTTAACTAGGTAAGCTTGAGGTTCACGTAAGATTGAGCAGCATCATGCTGACAGCACAGCAAAACACATATATAATAGATGGACCTTTTGTTACCAGAAGCAATATTGGGTGTAAAACTTGTTTTTCTGAAAGGATGCTTAAGAAATGGGAAGCCCTTTGCTTCCAAATATGACAAGGAAGTGTGTTTCAAAACAAAAACGTTCATGTTTCCCACTTGTGCCCCTTGTGCATCACTGTAGAGAGAGAGAGAGAGAGAGAGAGAGCAGGTATGTCTACCGCTGCAAATGAACCAAGCTTCAAGTAAAGCTCATCTTGTTTATTATTTATTTAAATAATAGGATAAATAAATATTAAAAATTATGGAATTTTTTTTTGATTCATTTTAATTCATAGGTAGCCTGTAGTTTCATTTTGTAAGAAATTTTTATTGATTCATTTTAATCCATAGGTAGTCTGTAGTTTCATTTTGTAAACCCATATTGAGTTTGGACCCAAAATAGTTTTTGTGAGGGAAAGGTAGGAAAAATTGTTTTCAGATTTTTCTACTTAATTTCATTGGGTTTGGTCCCAAAATTGTTTCCTGTGAGGGAAATGATAGGGAAATTGTTTTTTGTGAGGGAAAACAAAATTGTTTTAGTCATGGAATTCTTGGGTGCTTCAATTTATTACTTCCATGTGTGCTTCAGTTTTACATCAGTTTATTAGATGAATTTATTACTTCCCTATGTGCTTCAGTTTATTAAATCTGTTATTGTTTTCTGTGAGCTTTAGTTTTCTTTCCCTCTTCATCTATTATTTTTTTTCATTTTTTATAAAATAAGTAAAAAAAAAACTTAATTTTCATGACACACCCATCCAATCATCTCTAATACATAAAAGAAGAATATTAATTGGTGTTACCCTATTTTGACATTGTGTTGATTTTAGTATATTCCAAAAATATTGGATTACGTATATATATTATTAAAAAGAAAATTTATTTATGTTAAGTTGTCTTCCTTTAGTCTGTGGAAACAACTTAGATGTTTATATACTTGATCCCTTCGTATAAGAGAAAAATTAGAGCTCAACAAAAAATAAAAATAAAAATAAAAAATGTATTCTTTTAAGCATCCTTGCTGGAAAGTGGAGTTTGTCATAAATGCCCTATGGAGATCAAGCCATTGTTATTATTTGAGAATCTGAACTTTTGTTGGAATTTTTTAAATTTTGTGAGACTTTTTTCCATTCATCGAATTTTGCATTTAATAACACATCAGTTGATGCTTCAAATAAAATAGATAGTTGCTGAACAAAGTCAATTTTTTTAATTTCTGTTATTGTTTTCTATGAGGGAAAACAAAATTATTTTTTACAAAATCTATTATGTAAAATTGTTTTTTCACATCAGTTTATTACTTTCCAAAATATTTTATTACATCAGTTTATTGTTTTCCTATATGATCCAAAGGTTTACACATGGAATTATTGGGATTACATCAATTTATTACTTCCATGTCTGCTTCAGTCATGAAAATCTGTTTGTTTTGCCTCTCCTGTCTACTAGCTTGTGATTGAATTAGGTACTAGTGAAAATTTAGAGAAGAAGAAAAAGATTATCTTAGGGATTATTCTTATAGTTCATTATCTTATGTATTTGCTATAAAGTACTCAGGCAGAATTACATCACATTGTCCCAAAAAGCGCCTAAAGCTACTAAAACTTATCAAAATTTCTTCTATAATGGATTGAAAGTTTCTTTTTTAAACATGTAAATAATATAGACTCTAATTTGACTTGGACTCTTTATTTTGGAACTTACAATGGTAATGGATAAAACCTATACAAACCTAAACCTCATACATAGAGATCCTTTAACATAATTATACAAGTCTCAAGTAGGTGTTGCATTGAAGTAGATTAATTCCACCTCTTCCTCTTTTTATTTGATTTTTCTCTTGAGCTTCTTATGGCCTGGATTTAGTAGCAAACTATTGAGATCTTGAATTTTTGCTAATTTTTCATTATGGCATTGCTTTTATGGGGCCATTGAATTATCTTATTAATTTTGGAAATATTTTGTTGATGTTTTAAATTTTTTTGATCATTTCTTAATACCTCAAGAAATATTTTTGTCAATGAGTGGTTGGTTTTTATACTTATGTGAAGTTCCTTTGTCATGCAGAGAAGAAATGCAATAGGGTTAGTTGCTCCAGCTATTGTCGCTGGTTTAGGTACCTTAACACATACATTGGGTACCCTCGTCGTTGTGATAGGAGCAAGTGGATTTGCTACAACTGCAGCTGCAACTGCTATAGGAACTGTTGTCGGTAGTTTTAGATAATCTCTTAATAGTTGTTGATATTTTTAGAAAGTTAGATATGAATAGTTTTGGATGGTTTAAACTTTTTGTATAGTTTAGAACTTAAGGATATAGTTTTCGAATGTCTGGAATGTATAGACAATTGTTGAATGTTTATAATTTATGGATATAGTTTCTTTTTGATATTTCAAACAATATTTTGGTGGTTGATTAATGTTTGGTGATGCTTGTTTGTAATATTTGTTAGATTGTACAAAATTGGTGAAATAGAACCGACTGAATTTTTTTTTAAAAAAAAAAAAAAACTGCATATTCTATGGTAGGCATAATAAGTCACTGCATTATATATTTTACGGTGCACAATCAGCGTCGTTATGTGCCTCACCAATTAACGGCGTGCAAAAGTAGTCGTAGAAAAAGTAACAACGACACACAAAATCTGCCGTTAAATAATTTTTAACGGCGTACTCTAGTATGTTGTAGAAAAAGTAATAACGACGCACAAAATCTGTCGTTAAATAGTTTTTAACAACGTACGAAGCATGTCATTGAAAGTGAATAACTTTCCATGACTGGTCATAATATGATGCGCGCTGCACGTCGTAGAAGGGTTTTTACAGCGTGCATTGTGCGCCATAATAACCTTTTTTTGTTGTAGTGCTTTCTCCTAGGATAAAATGATCTACAATAAACAGTAACAGCACTACAAACTGTTCGCATAACGAACACCCTTTGTGTTTATACTCTTTGTTCACGAAGAGTTTATGTAGAAAAATACAGGAAATCAGAGCAGAGAAGAAGAACGAAATTTATTGAGTGCAAAATCCAATTGAGGGACTGTTTATTTATAGATGAAATAGTGGCTTTTTAGAACAAGTTTCAATAGGTAAAAACTGTTTGGAATAGTGTTTGAACAAGTATAAACATATTCGCACTAATAGAACCTATTCAGGTAGAATTTTGAACAGAGAATAGACCACTTCGGTTGGAAGAAAATCTGGATAGGTGTGATCGACCAAACTGCCAACGTTTCAATATGTTAGGGTCAATTCGAAATTAAATTTGAATTTCAAACCAAAATTCAAATTCTAAATGGTGGAATTTAATTTTAGAAAAAATAAAACTCAAATAGTTTTGGCCAAAAAAGATAAGCATTGGACAAGACAAGCCTAACATAACCTCACACCACGCACTCGCGCCCAAGCCCAGCCCACCTGACCGACCTGACAGACAGTGGCGGTAGCGCCCATGTGCGTGTGTTTATTTTAGGTTCAATGGGCCTAAACCACTTTGCCCATAACCTCACCCTTTCACAAAACTTGGGTGCCTCTTGGGGCCCTTTCCAAGTGGTAAACCCAAGGCTTATAAACTCACATCAAGTTTGCCCACCAAAGCAATGTGGGACACACCTTAACTTCAACCTTTATGGAAATTCCACCAAAAACACCATTTCCATGGAGCTCATTTTGGCATTGATTTTCCATTCACCTGATAATGATTTTGAGCAACCAAATATACGACGTGAATCATTACACGGCAAAGAATGCGTTGCCACATAGACCCACAAACTTTGGCGCATGGGTCCCACCTAAAAATTAGACCAAAGTTAAAGAAAAATCTATTTTTTTGGTTTTAAAAACCATTTCTTGCACAAGCCACAGACAAGATTGGATGCCTACCCTACACTTATTTTGGCCAAAATGAGTTTTGAGGCCCTTTGAAACTATTTTCAAATTGATTTCAGAGATGTTGATTCTAAACATTCCACGATGTTCAAGCTCCTAGCTTTATCAAAATCTTGTATCTTTCAGACAATGAGCAAGAACAAAGTAGAAATGAGTGGAAATGAGGAGAAACTTCTGGAGACACACTGAGTTGCATCTTTTTGTTGAGCCACACATTTTCTTTACCATGGCCGTATCTTTTTGCCATGGTCGTAGCTTAATGCTACGGTTGTAGGAAAGTTGGCTGGCAGCGGAAAAGTTGTCTGGCCGTACAATTTGTGTGACACACAGAGTAGTTTCTAGAAGATGGTTCTCCAAGCATGTTAGAAGATGCCTTCTCTGCAATTCTCAGAGAATTCCATGCTAAGGCACCTTCTTTAGCCCTTTGGGCTATAAATACCCCCCTTGGTTCAAGGAATTGAGCTATTGATTGAAAATCTCTCAAGAGCTTTCTCTCCCTTATAAATAAATTTCTATCTGTATATCTGTATACCTTAGAAGTGAAGTATATGCACTGATGTCGTTATTGTATTTATTCTTATCCCAATTATCTCTCAAATATTCAATTTTATTATCATACCCTTTTTAATTTTTTCTATCTTAGCTTGACCTTTACATTACAACCGAATAGAAGTCCTATTTGATTTGTAGAGTGGTGGTTTTATGGACATCATTTTAAAAAGTAATAGTGTGGTGATTTCAAATTCTTAGCATTTAACATTCTTTTTATGAGACAATATGTATTCTTTCTTATTAGCATTTTTTCAAGTAAGTAGTATGCGAGATATTTTGATTTTCACCAACATTCTACTCGCATATATAGTAATTGTCCACCTATTTCGGAGTGATTTATATTTGTTGAGTGCAATATCTGGAGAGATTTGACTCAAAGCACATGTCTAAATGAGATTTGAGTTGTGTTTGACTTTGAGATTATGATTGTATTTGTGTTGGCTAAACTTATTCACACACTCCAAATTTTGAATATTATGAGATATCTTAACTTGTAGCTAGTACTCTTAACTTCAATTGATTTTCTATTAAGATGATGAGATTCATAACTTTGTACTTGAAATATCTTCATGAGAATGAAACAAAAATATTGAGGATAATTTTTGAATTTTTTGGGTATATTTACTACAAACCCTCACAAGACTATACTCATCCAATGCTAAATGTAATTGACAGTTTTACAAAAGTGGATTATATATTTTTTTCTTTACTTGGACTATAGCGA